GTAACTGTTCTTTCCCTTACATCTGTTAACCGTTCTGTTCGTTCGTATTATTTTCCAATAGCATAAATTAGATACAAACTATTGATATTGAATTTACATATAACACCTGGATATATTATATTATATCATACATACTAAATGACATATTACATACAATTAACCGCATTCGATATCATGCTCCTATAAAAAGATGCTTCATCGATACGGAACAAGTGGACTCACCTGAGATCGATGATTGTAACACGTTTTCTTTAATCCATCACCGAAACTAGAAAGGATATTCTCGAAAATGAGACTCCCGCTGACACGGGGCACACTTAACGCATATCTGCACTGAATTCAAGAGAAAAAAAAAGGCAAGATACCGCAAGCAGAAGAGAAACCGGAAGGCTACAGAAAGTAAGACTTTCTCAGTCGAAATCGTCCAGCAGTTAACAGCACACGCGGTTCTTCGCGGTTTTACATGGCACACGTACGAATGGCGTCCACGAATCGGTTTTGTTTAACCGTATTTCGAGCTGGCAAACCGCTTCTTTAACTTTCGTCTCTTCAGGAGGAGCTTCGGGATGTTATTGCGACACAATACGATACAATGTGTCACGACAACTGCAGTGCTCGAGACCGCTGAGGAGACTGGCTGCACAGTCGATAAAGAAGTATCGATTGGGATGGGTGTCATGGAGTGGGGGGAGACTAGGTTAGGTTCCTGTAGTTAGTCGACCTTATCGATACTGCGCGCGCGGAAATTTAAAATTCTACATTTAGAATAATATTATATTTTCTTTAGTCGCTTGGTGCAACTTTGGAAGTTTGCGTAAGTAAGTAAAAATATAGTTTGTCGTTAAAATATAGATATGTTGTTTTAATCGATGGATATGGAAAAATTAAATTAATAATAATTTTTTTCAATAGAATATTAATACAAAATATACGAAGAAATTATATAAACTTGACAGTGTAGTCAATTTTTGTTTTGTAATTATTATTTTAACAAAACTTAAAAGTTTGTTTTCTATGCATTTTTAGCTGGTGTTACAACAAGTTCAATTCCCTAAAATAGTGTAACCTTGTAATGTTGAGATTTAAAGTGATTTCAAATATTCCTACCTAAAATATACGATCTTCATCGTAGAATATGTACCGTATTCTCACATTATGGATTCATTTACTACATACAACGGAACCAAGGATCTATGGGCTCATAACCTCAGGTGTACATAAATACATATTCAGATTCAAAGTCGTATTAGTATACTTATTTTTAGACACCTTTTTTGCGACCTCAGAAATAAAAGTCTTCTAAAATGCTAAGTTATACTGACTTACTTTGTATATTTTAGTTGTTAGGGATATCATGCTGAAATTAATTATGTCGTTTTCAACTTCTGGAGACATAAACACCTTTTTCAATTAAAATTAGCCAGAAATAAAAAAGAAGACAATCTGCCTTATCGATAAAATCGATTTTACCTGCACTAAAATGTTTGTTTCTCTTCGAATATATCCAAGATGTCTCTTTATTATAAGCAAGAGTAAATAAGTGTTCGTGCTGGTTTTTGTAAAGACATATTGTCTTTCTGTTGTTCAACCAAACCTGTGGTTCAGGTAAGAAGTTAGCGTCAGAAAGTAGGAGTTAGAGGAAAACTTGTTACATCTTTGCTGATAGTCAGTCAATCACAATAGAATAAGGCTATCGCACTTACTTTTCTATGAGCAACAACAGGCGACGATTGAGCATCATGTGAGCAGTCGGTAACAGATGAACCACGTGCCAAATCTCGAGGCGAAGAAATAGTGGCTGTCGATCTTTATATATGTAGTACCATGCTTTTCTTCATTTTCATCAGAAATTTTTAGTAAATAGAATTCAGGAAAGACAAAAAAATATTTACTTTTCACTTTTATAAATCTTAAAAAATATGAATATATTTCCTGAGATTTGTTTTACAATAACTGTTTATTGTATTTGAGTATTTTGGAAATTAACGTCTTAGGTGTTATTAAATGTTTATCTTGTGCACCAGCCTAGGTAGAAAGACAAGGCAAGCAGATAATTTGTTCACTTTCCTATTCTTTTAATAGCGCCCAACATTACCGACGGCTGGTTAAAAACCATTTATTTATGTACAACAAAATTTCCTCTCATACGGAGCAATCTAGGACCGTAGATTAGTGAAAATAGCGTACTGGTCTGTTTTCCACTCATTTACACAGGCATGTGTGTTAGACCACTCAAGTTTATTTATGTCACCACTTATGCGACTTTCAAAAATTTTACAAGAGATAGAGTTGCTTCGAGAAATCTTGATGGTTTTCTTATTTAAGAAATCTCCATCAATTTGCAAATTTTAACAATGTGTGAAATATTCATGAATTGTTAAATTAGAAATTTTCTGTATAGAAATCTTTGTTATCTTCATTTCTCATTTGTTGATAAATATTATTTTTAATAATTAAAAATTGTGCCTTTGTTACAATAATGTAATATTATATAACTTTTAGATTAGCTAGAATGATTTTGGTTACCAAATTGTAACTGTGATGATATTAAATTGCTAAATATTTTCCAAATTATTGAATGCAAAGTCTACGATGGAACATAATTGAAATACTTTTCTACTTTTCTACTTTGAAAACGTTTCACTTTATTTTTTTGGAACTATTTAAATTTAATGAATGTTCATTTTTAAACAAATAATCAATTTAAATTTAAATTCTAGTTTTAATTAGGTAAAATTAATAATAAATTAATGTCGTATCTATACAGATACGCCATCTTTTGAGCGTTTCAAGAATCTTCTTATCGATAGCTCCAAAGCGCTCAATTTAAATTTAAAAACATTATGAAGAACAGATTGAACAAAACTGTAAAGGAAATTAGTTTAGATATTATATATTAACAAAAATTTTCATATAAAATTGTAACATGAAATTCATTTTATAGTATTTATTAATATTAAATACTTTATCCATTAAGAGAAAGATGAGAAATTAAGAATTAAGAAAACAGATCTGACGAAGATATTTTTGGTGAAGATAAGAAGAACGTTTTAAGTTTATTTCTTGAAACTATTTTACGACACATTTTCGCATAAAATAATTATGAAACGCGTCACGTTTTCTTTTTCCTATATCTTTTATCGCAATCAATTCTTTTTACTAAGTAATCATTTCACACAGATACGAGTAAGTTATCGTACGTGAGGAATCTAGAAAATTTAATCTATGACATAAACGTGTGTTAAAGCTAATCCTGCTTTAAGGACACAACCTACGTTCAAAATTTAATTACATTAAAATCCATTATACCTCACAAAGAATACGAGTATGTTTATAAATTTTGGGGTCCGAATATTATGATGAATAAAAATAACATCTACCAGTGTAAATAATTGACGAGAAATCTTAAATAAAAATAATCAAGTTTTATTTGAAATAATCAAGTTAACATGAATTCTCTGATATGTGATATATTTAAATTTAACAATTGAAAATTTCCTACATTTTTATACAGAATAAATTTTTTAATTCGTTATTTGAAAGAATTATATTTCCTTCATCCAATAAATTCTAGTAATTTTATCATTCATTATGTAAGGTAGGATAATCATTCATTAATTCAAGGTAGACGACTCATTCGTTTTTGCTCGATTTTTTTCCATCGCTTGTGTTAAAGTAATCGAAAACAGATGTATACAGGTATTATCGGAATATGCAAGAATTATACACACAAATAGATACATAAATTGAAAAAATTAGAATATACGTTATTTTATCGATTGATAAATTGTGTACAATTTAATTTTTTAAATTTATAACATTCCAAGTAAAAGTGATTACTTAATTTCTATTTCAATCTTTTCAAATTCACTTCAATCACTTTCAAGTGATAAATAGAATATATACAGTATTTTTAATTTTACACTCTGTATATATAACACGTAACAACACTTCATACAGTCACAGAATTTAATTATTTTTTCATAATTACTCGTTCGTAAGTATAGTTAGGTAAAGCATTGAATACATTTATCTAGAAATACGCCATTGCGGTTAACGCTGAACGTAACAACACCGGCCGCCATATTGAAAGAAATACTGAGAGGTTAATTAGTAATGTACATTTCGAGAATGTTATTAAACACACGGAATTGCGTAACGTGACTAAAAATATTTTTAACGCGTATCGCAGAAATTTCCTAGAACTTGCGATTCTTTATGCTACTGTTACTTCAACTTTTACTATCAGACTGGAATCTCGCGTGCTCGTTTAACTCTATTTTCTTCTGTTCTCCTGTCTTCTGAAAACAATCCGAGGCTCGTACCACGCTGGAATAATACGATAAGCTGGTGTCACATTAAAAATTTTTTACGATTTCATCATGTATGTATTTAGTAATCTTTCGATGTATACCGGGTGAGCCAAACATCATGGTGAGATTACGGTTTTTTGTTTTAGGTATTAATTTTTGTTATCGTTTTCACGAAACCAATATTTAATTATTATTCATATTAGATATTAATGAAATATACTTTTCTATTATAATTGGCAATTGAACATAACTCGTTCGTGTTATTCTAAAATGAAGTGCAATGTGATATTGTAGTACAAATTGCAAGGTACTGAAGTGTAACATTATAGTGTGCGTGTAATGCACTGGTTATGTCAGAGTAACATGCGAAGATTACGCAATAATGATACATAATAAAGTACTACAATGTGCAAAAGTATCATAGACGTAATAATTGGTGTAGTGGTATAATGTGTAGCAAATTATCGTTAACAACGGTATGTGAAATGAAAAAAGAAGTTATCATTATCGATCTATAATTTGGGGTGTATTATGATTATTAATCCGCCCTATATGATGGGTTTGTTGCAGTTTTATTTTTACCTCTTACTGCTTCCACATTTATCACAAAAGCTAAAAATATACTGTTCCGTTATGGCAGACAAAGTATTGTGAAGAAGGAAGTTTACGTTATTAATATGAAATGTACACGTGATCGACTTCTGATCGATTTAATGTTTAAATAATAAATTAAAATATGGTACTTGAATTTTAATTTTTTCTGTAACTAAGATATTTTTCTTTTAATATACAATAATTTTATGAATATTCACATCAACTATTGTAATTATTTTCATTTGTTGGCTATTGTTTATTATTTGCTCCAGCTTTGGTGATAGTAATTATCAGTAAACAAAATATTTAAAGTTTACTCATTGTGAACATGTTCTAACGAAACTTGATGACATTGCATTGCAGAAGAAATGGTAGCGCCATTATTTGTTTTTGTAAGTAGTCTCATTACAGAAAACTAATAGTATAATGTTGCAATGTAATTATAATACTTTTTCAATAATTTTAAATTTCAATTAAAGTGCATTTTAACAAACAGGCTCTTCATAAATAAATATACGTATGTATATAACGATAACGGTACTATTAAAGTAATTATTGATCGATGAAAAACAAAGCAATATATATAATTCATGTTAATCATAAAAATTTCTTCTATAATTTTAGGTTAACGTAAGCGATAGCAACTCGTTAAGGAGAGAAATGCAACGTCATCCTTAATAACTCAGAGATACACACACACGTATATATG